GAAGGGTAGAATTGTACCTTCAACTCTCTTTCTGTGGTGGGTGAGAGGAATCCCAATACTCCAATGAAAAAGAAACTCGATGGGTGACTCAAGTCCCCGAGTTAGAAATGCCGTATACATAAGAATATACGACACTTTGCAATCTCATTCCCAAATATTTACTGAATAGTTGCAACTGCAGGAACATTACCTAATATTCTTACTGCCCAAATCAGAATATTTGCGGAAGCTTCTTTATTTCAGAAAAACTATGAAATTGCTCCATTAGCTTGTACAACCTGAAATTTATGGAGAGTTGGAAAGTACAGACTGCCTACTGCACTGCAGCCTTTCGTCTATGGTTAAGCCAGTAAATTCATTTTAGTGACAAATATAAATTATTTCAAGCTATGCCCGACATCCTAGTCAAACAATCTATTTGGAATAACATCTTTGGTTTTTTCCCCTGGGTACTGAGCGTCTTTGAGGACACTCCTGTATTCAGTTCTAGGCTGTCCCTGTACTCTATGCACTGTTTGTCTCCAAACATTTTTAACTATACATTATCACTGTTTTCACTGTGTGCTGCCAATACTGCTCTCTTAATTGCCAGGCATGCCATTGCAAAGGACTTACTAATAGTATTCTGTTACATGTATCTGCATAATGTGGTTTAATCGGCTTTTCATGGCTCTTAGTTGATTCTGACATAATTATGTGGTTCCAGTTTTCCTTTCATTTATCAGTCCCATTATTACCATTCCACTTTATCCCTTCCATTAAAAGTAAAGATAAAATAGTGTCCTCACAGCACACCAGAGGCTGCCAGGATCACATCTGCGTGAGCAGCTCTCCTCAGAGCAGGAGTGCTTGCAGCGTGTCCTCTCCCTGTGAATTCAGGGATTGCTCTTCTGCCTAAGTGCTTCCTCATGTACACGGATTGGGAGGAAGCCAGGAGCACTAATGGGGTTTTTTTTTAAGTGCCATTTTTACAGATCACAAGCTAGCGTGACTGTAAAGCGAAGCCCTAGCCATGCCTTACTGCCAGCCTCTCCCCACCAACAGACGCGCACAGGGAGCAGCGTATCTTGCACCGGACCCTCACCCTCCCATGGGAGCGGGTGTCTGCCGGAGGCGGGGGGTGCCTGGGCTGAGCCCTGCTGCTCACCCACTCGCAGCGGGGACACTCAGACGCAGACTGGAACGAAGCCATTTCCAGAGATGCATTTACAGGAACGAACGCTGGCTGCCCACGGCTGCCGGAGGTGGGGGGTGCCTGGGCTGAGCCGTGCCGCTCACCCACTCGCAGCGGGGACACTCAAGACGCAGACTGGAACGAAGCCATTTCCAGAGATGCATTTACAGGAACGAACGCTGGCTGCCCACGGCGTTGTGTCTTGCAGTTGGCTGCTCTGGCAGCAAAAACCGATCAAAGCTTTTCCTGCTTCTGAAGCCGTGATAAGATCTCTCCCTGACAAGGAATCCCTGGTACCCAATACAGACTGGGCTCCTCCTTTCCCTCTCTGGCAAATCAGAGTTCTCCTCTTTACCCAGCTGCCTGTTTTCATTAAGCTTTTATGAACTTAAGTTCAAATTTGCCTGAACCTGGAAAGCAGATTCAAAGTCACTAGAAGATGGCAGACAGTGACTCTGATGCTTATTGTGCAGACCTCATTTCCTTAGGAAACCAGGTTAGATGTCAGCCAGTCACCTCACGGCCATCCTGGTCTATGTGTGATACATCACTCTGACATGAAAACAATACCAGCAATGCACATCTGTAGGCAGTAAAACCCCAGCAGACTCCTTTCTGGTCAGAAGCATCTTCCACACTGAGCCTATTTTCACTCCTGTACTCTGAGGTGAGGAGCGACTGCGCTTTTTCCAATTAATCCCAAAGCCCATCATCCCGGAGGCACTGCAGAGAGTGGGCAGCAAGGATGTGCTAGTGACAGATTTAGTATGAAGTGGTATGGCATCTAGATAAGGGAAAAGACTTTCTCTTCAGTTTGAGAGCTACTGTTACTAGACTTTTTTTTTTTTAATAGTCTCAGAGGAGAAGCAGTTAAAACTGTTAAAATTGGGGTGTTGCTCCCTGGTTTGCAGTGAGTGAAACCTGCAGCTAAGCACCATCTGAGACATCTGTTAAGGCAAAATCCTTCAGGGCAAGAGCATTTAAGGCAAAGGAAGTATTTCTTCATCCTGAGTTTTAAAAGCAACTGACACAGTAATGAAAACATCACTTGAAAAATTAAGGTGATGAAGATCTCAAGAAACCGAAACTTTTTAATAAAACTAAGGAAGACAAAATCTGAAATTAAAACAAGGAGTAATGATTTGACTACCTCAAAACAGAACTGCAGTATTGGGATGTTAAAGTCACAGAGATGCTTGTGAGTGACATTTTCAGGGCCTGTGCTGGGGGCTGGGGAGAGGAACGGTTTTCCAGACAGAGAATCTTGTGTCCTCTCGCGAGCAGTTTTGTTAAGAGCCACCATGAGTGCTCTTCTCAAAGAAGTTAAAACATGGGGGCTGGTTTTCCTTGTTCTTCCCCGTGCCATTTACATTTGTGCAGAGCCTATGAAAGGCTACCAAATCACCATTTCTCTTTCTTGCCAATAAGGCAAGAATAAGGGCACAGAGAAGTGAATGGCTACAAAAGACTCAAGAAATGGTGGTTTATAACCCACTGTACAATGATGCTCTAAATACAGAAATCATTTAAGCTACAAAAAGTAATAAATATGGCCTAGCTAGAAAAATACTGATTTTTATGAAAAGAGGAGGAATTCTTTACTAGACTGGAAAAAGAGCAGGATTTCACAAACAGGATTTTCTGCTTATTCTTTCCCCTTGTACATTTGTAGGCATCATATACGAAAAAACAACAGTATGGGTTGCAGGCCCAGAACACTGTAAGCTTGATAAACTGAGAAATGATATTAGCAAGACTTCTCAAATACATTTGGACCATGGGTTAGACAGGGTGTATCCATGTGTCCTTATCCTGCACTGTGCAGACTAGACAGTGTGTTTTATATTTACCTTGAGCTACACTCTAAGAAACAACCCCACTGTGTAGGCAAGGTAGTATTTGACCTACATAAGAGCGGCACAATCTGGTTCACAGCTTGCAATGCCTGAATTGTGGCAAATGTAGCAGGAGGCTTTAGAAAACTCCTTGTTAATTTCTTTAAATAAAAAGTTTTTTGTAATTGCTCACACTCAAGCCTGATCCTGAAAATGAGAGCTCTCCTCAGGTACTAGCTGCCATTTGCCCAAAAGCTCTGGCTACCAGCAGGTGCCAGGCATCCAGTGCCTGTGCTACAGAAACTCTGGATTAACTACAGGTAGTCTATTACACACTAAATTTACTAAGTAGACTTTTTATATACAGGACCATGTGTGCATCTCCCATTTGCTGTATTTGAAAATCTTTAATTATCCTTTCAAGCCTGTGATTTTTTTTAACAACCAATTTCCAAATGAATGACTGAGCAAAACCAGAATCAC